GGTGAGGATATTGAATCTCTTGAGCACACATTCTTCCATTGCACGAGGGCTAGGTTTGAAAGCTGACAGCTGTCTCGTGGGACAATACTACAAGTGAATCCTTCAGTTTCAGGCATTGATGGATAGAGACTTGCAGCCACAAGCACACTTCAAACCTGGCCACAAAAATCGATCTCTCGGTGTTTGTTCTCTGGTGGATTTGGAAGGCCTGGAACTTGTAGGTCTTCCAAAATTTTTGGCTGGCTGAGTTCTCCATTGCCCAATCGACGATGGTCTCCTGGACTGAATTCTCCTCTTGCTAATGGATTTTCTGGATTTGTTAATTCTGGTTTCTTTAGTTTGGACCTTTGATCTTGGTTGTTATTTGTTTGTTCCTGTTTTTAGTGATAGTGCTGTTAGGTTCTCTAGTTCAGTGGTAGCCTATCTTTTGTATAGTTAATATTTCTTAGACCACCATCATAAGAGGAAGGATCGGAAGTTATCGCCTCAGTCTATGCCGACCCAATACTCTTAAGACGGCTGTTTTTTTATCTTTAGCTAGATCACTATCGTTAGTGACTCTCCATTCTGCTTAGTAGCAGCTGTATTCCCGCATGTACAAACCTTTTGAGTTTATGAAATCTATCGTATTAAAAAAAAAAAAAAAAAAGATCATTTGGTTGTCTGAAAATGTTAAAGTTGTGATTAAGGACGGAGCATGATTTGAGAATTAAGGACATGCACTAAACTGGTTTTGGGTCCAGAACAAATTCTTATCAAAACTGAGTGCCAACGTTGCCACTTAGGCCCATTAGTAAGCCCATGGATGCGAAATTTAAAAATCCGTAATAACAACCCCTGTGTTGGTTCATATAAGGCCCAGAAATATATTGGGTAACCCCGGTTCGTGCTTTTACATAAATTTATAATAATTTGTCTCAACACCAAAATTTTCAATTTTGTAGCATTTGAAGGCCTTTTTCTACTACCATATTTAAAATTGTAGAAAAACAGTTAAAATTCACTACTATTCAAGCATCTTCATATGGGACGGGATGGAATTAGATGAGATGTATAATGTTCTATTTTTATATTTCTATCTTCGTATTTCATTCCATTTGATACAGGACACTTATACAAATATAACGTAGACAACCTAAATTAATCAAATGTAAGTGATCAAGTTGTTAACGAATGAAAATACATTCTAGTTTTAATGAATTACTAGTACAACACCCGTGTATTACACGGGTGTTTGTTACAAAATTATTCTTAAATTTTAAAATTAATGAAAAAACAATATTAAATTTAGTTTATTTTTTTACAAAAAAAAAAATATTACTATATATTTTAGAATGATATGTGTCACTTATGACTTACATGTGTTATATTATATTAGTGTTTATAACTTATAGGGGAAATAATTGTGAGCAACCTGAACTATACGTGATTTTGGGATTTGCAACCTAAAGTATTTTTTTTGGTAAAATGCAACCCAAACTACATACACAATCACTTTTTGCACCCTCGACCACATTTTGACCGTCCGATCAATAGCAAAAAAGGGCACTTGTATGGTCAAGATGTGGTCGAGGGTGCAAATAGTGATTGTGTATGTAGTTCAGGTTGCATTTTACCAAAAAAAATACTTTTATTAGTTTAGTAGTTAAAAGTGTACGTATTTTGGTGAATAAGTTTAGTAGTTAAAAGTGTACGTATTTTGGTGAATCATATTATTTAGCACTAATTAATGCATAGGTATATATAAATACCCTATTAGGGTTTCAATGTATTCAATTTTTTTTTTTTTCTCAATCTTTCATGTTTCTCTCTCAATACTTCATCTCTGTAATTCTCAATCTTTCAGTTCAATAGTTGAATGTGTATTTTTTTTTTTTGGTTTCAATCTGTGTTCCAATACTAACAGAAAAAGAGTAGTAGTACAGATTTGGAACTAACTTTGGTAGCTGTTACTTTCAAAGAAAAACGAAATTAGAAAAAATGGTAGTAGTTAGGTGTAGTGGACAATGGCTTTTGGGCTAATTTCTTATTAATTGGACATTACTTATTTTCACAGTCCGATCAAAAACTCGAACCAAAACGTTGAAGCAAAGATAGCATAATTAATTAATTATTATATGATCAAGAGAGATGATAGCGATAGAAGCTGCCATAATAATATACAGTAAATCCCCCCTTGATTAATTTTCAATATTGTTGTTATGGGTACGTAACCAATTGTTTGTTAGAGTAGGCTGATGGGTGTAACTAATTTTCTGAACAGGATGTGTATGTATGTATAGATTCTAAGAGAATATTAAATCTTAGTACTATTTACTAATTGTTGAGAGTAGATGACAATATGACATACGAATTAAAAACGATAAAGTAAACAACACAAGATTTACGTGGTTCGGCAATATGCCTACGTCCACGGCGGCTTAGGGATCTTTTTATTATTCTCAAATACATCAATACACCATGTATTTATACTATAACCCTATAAGGTATAAATTTACTTAAATACCCTGCTCGCTCCACTCCGCTCACTTCGCTCGGTCGCTCCGCTTCCCTCGCTACGTTCGCTCCGTTACGCACGCAGGCATCAACCTGCCTCTTTTCTTTGTCAATATATGAGTCATACCAACACTAATGTACGTAATTAGTTTAAGTATCATGTGCGTAATTAATTAATGTGTTTCATCATCAAGATTTTCGGTCGATTGAAAAAATTTGTACTAATATATGTAAACAAGGGTGCACTAAATTGAAATGTGGTCATTAACATTACAAATGTAATGAATGTTTATATAATGTAGTAAAAAAGATTAAACTAATTAAATTGAAGTGAAAGTGAAAACATTTTTTACTAGTACTACATTTTATTTTATTCGTAACGCATTTATATATGATAAAAACTTATTACAGACAACTTTGGAATGTGCGCCATATTTATGGGAAATATTGCAGCCCTCTGATGAATTACAGAAATTTTTTTCAACCCAAATTTGCCATTTTCTTATTTTTAGTCTCCCGTGACGTGAATGATTTATCTTATAGTATTAATCAATTCTTTATAGTTATTCCAACAATTTAATCTCTCTTTATTTATTTTATTCCTTTCGAGTTAAATATAAATAATTATTCTTCAATGATCATTTTCAGTGGTCTCTGTTATATATAATCCTGTCACACTTTTTTTGAAGAAGAAAACATAATAATAATACTTGAAAAATAAAGATACAACAATATATAATTATTATATTTAGGGAAAAGAAAGAGGAAAAATAAGTGATCCAAGTAAAAAAACGCAACACGTGATCACCCGCCTGATATTTCTTTACAATTCCATTATTATTGATTCATACTAATTGTCATAATTAACCTTAAACGGACCAAACAGTGAGTCTCAAAGTTGGCTAATGATGACACAAAATTGATTATTTCAATGGATTAAGTCTTATATAATACAGACTCGAAATTCTAATGGGGCCCCACCACATTGCCATACACTTATTCAAATTGAATTCTCTCTCTCATATAATATTATTCATTTATCATATGTTTAACTTTACGGAGATTCTACAGTTTGAATTATTTTCTCCTAACTTAACTATCCACGACAGTTTCATGATGATCTAACAGTTACAAATCCCGATAGGATTATTCCATAACGAGACTGTAATATTTCCCTTAACTTTAACCAGTGAGACGGACTAATCTAAATAATAAATTTGGAAAACAATAAATTCGAGCTATATATATATATGACCCTTTCGGTTTATCGAGCTATTAAACCATTACACATCAAATTACTATCAATGCATATTGTCAAATCAGGGGCAAATCGAGTGCGGTCCCACACAAGTGAAGCGCACCATAAGAGGATTAGCCCAAATGAAGCCCAAGTGAGGTTTCATCCCAAAACTAATTGGTGATGAGAGGAGTAGCTCACTAGACTTATAAACTAGGCTCATTTACCCTATCAAATCAATGTGAGACAACTCACAAGTGCTATTCCCAACACGCTTCAGCCCACGCCTACAACTAGGCCGGGTACAATTTTCAGCCTACGCCTACAACCAGGCCGGGTAGTTTTTTTTTTTTTTTT